CTTATAATTGGGTTACAGAAAAATGTGTGAAATAGGATGAATTAACATATTTTAAATGACTTTCGAAAAGTGATGCCTCACAGAGCCATTTTCATTAGCTACGACTAACAAAAACATAGACTTTTTGTGGAAATACCTCTAATAAAAAGTTGTGAAATCTTGACTTAAGACTCAGAGGACTTTTAAGGCTAGATTGTATGAAGGTGTGCAGACCGGTATTGAATAATGCAGGCATTTGCAGCCTAAATTCGCATTTGTCTCAGTGATGACGGGAATCATTGATACAATTTGCTAAAGGAAATCACCTCTGATTTGTCCCACTATGAGATAGATCCTTATGTGTATGCCCACATAAACTTGAATAATGTACAAGTTTTAGCTTAAGTTTGTGTTAAAACTTGGGTATGAAGATCAAAATAGTTAGTCGCAAAGTTTAACTTCATTTTCGCAGCTTGATTCGAGCGTCGCTGAGGCCCCAGTTCTGCGTTCTCTATCCTAGTAAAGGACCGTCGTGGCCTGGGATTGTACCAAAACAAAGACCACGTGCTATTAAATAATAATAACTACTATGAGTATACTCCAGAGGTAGTGACAATGAGACAATACCAAATTTATGTGATATTTTATTTCAGCGAAGAGCAATATGAAATAAAAGAAGACTGATACTCTTTCTTGGACAACCTTTTTTCAACAAAGGTCTGACTCCTAACAACTTACATAAATCGAATTCTCTTATGATGCTGTAGAACTGACAGCCATTCCACAATAAATGCAATTGGCGACAGGCTTAGCTTGCTCAAATGTCACATCCAATGGCAGTGTGACAAAGTGGTAATTTTTTACCGCTTGACGTACACGACCCAGTTTACACTTTTATCGGGGATACTGACGACCGACGCATGAGGAGTCGAAACCGAGGCCCAACCCTAATAAGAAGCATTTTTTAGGTAAAACTAAGTGAAAGTCAACGGAATTTTAGCTCTTCTGCTCATCCCATTGTGGGAGACTACCACTACACTACTTAAATCACCTTGAGTGACATAAGGTAGATCAAATGCTTATTAGTTAAACAACTTTATGATAAGTCCGAGCTAATCTTAAACTTCACATGACAAGTCATTCGCTCATAGCGTCAAAACGGTAAGACGTGTTCGCTAAACCTGATTTGGTCGCAGAATTTTAGCCTCGGTAGGTTTTGCAAGTTATAGATGACACGGTAATTCGCCTACTGCTACATGTAATGATGTGACCATATAAGAAACACTATACTTTCGAGGTTTACTTCAGTAATGGGACTCGAATATCCTGGCTCTAACTGTGCGTGGATAGATTCATTTGACCTGAATGCGCCCAACATGTTGGGATACTGCAAGCTAGACCTCGTCATCACGTCAGCAACTGCCGACTCCTCTTGACCAATGCGTTTCCGTCCGACAGGCTTGACTGGTAGGTCACTCGGCAACACGTTAACCTCCTTTGAAATAGATGAATCCATCATAGGAACTCCGGTGTAGCTGGTTCCCAGCCAGCTCTTGTCGGTACAATCTGTCATCTTGCATCCGTCACAAATAGATAATAGAATAATTTTTCGTGGATATGGAAACCAAGATGCTGTGGCCTGTGTTTTGGCCACAGTCACCGTTTGCTGTATGGAAGTGGTCAATGTTGAAATGGCAAGACTCACGGAAGGTGCTGGCCAAACGTATGTGAACATATCAACAACGCTAGGAATTTTCTTGCCTATTATAGCAGGGGAATTCGGACAAGGCGTGTCTAACTAGGTTGCCTTGGCAACGCGACCAAGTTGTGAAAACGAGGTCAAACCACTTCCATAGTTTTAAAAAATGCATAAATAGATTTCCGATACTACCAGTAGATCACATATAAGAATTGTGCTTATCCTATTTCGTTTAAGGTGATGAAGAAGTGGTAAATAAATTTTCCCACAATCGTATGAATATGCTTCACGTTCCCATTGAATTTCACATAGCCTTATGCAGGCAGGAGTAGACTGTACTTTCAGCCTCGCCTGAATTGGTCACATCCCCACCTTCAGAGGGACTTGAACCCGAGTTGTGATAGTGAAGCGTATAGACTTTTTGGAAGCAAAGCTATGTGAAAGTCAATAGAAACATGAGGTCTACTCATATGACTGTAGTTAAATTCAATTACCATTCACTTATCACCTTGAATGAAACAGAAAGAATACTGCTCTTATATTAGAGAATATAGTGTGAATCTCTGAAGTTCACGATGGTATCGCTGTGCCTTGTCTGCTAAGAAACCGTATTAGCAGAAATTGGTAAAAACTCTCTCAAGAGAAAATTTTTAATATGAGATTTTCCCGGTGAATTTTGCCAACTTTAACTACTTTTTCGTTTTTCCCATATTTACGGGGGGCAGAAACCATTCAATCATAAATGCTTGTGAGGAAACGACTGTTCGAAACGCATCAAACGCTATAAAACTATTGAGCTTACTTCCATCTCCTTGACTGGTTAGCTTGAATTTTGTTGTGATGATGATATCTTGCTCTGACGATGTTCGTCATATGATGGACGAAAGCTTAGCACTTTTTCACCGGAATCGGAGGAGATTGCCTCGGAAACAGCGTCAGCATGAATCTTTCAGTAAAGTCAATCGACAGCTGGTCGTCTTCTGGTGAAACCGACCTTCGAATCTCTTCACCCAACACTTCCACTCGAAATGGAAGTAAGCTGAACAATTATGAAACAATAGATTCCTCGAAACCCAACTTTTCTTCGCTATAAAACCATGCCCCAACAAACTACAGCAAGCACATGGCCTCACGCCTCAGTCTATGTGGGCAAGTGTGTTTGTACATTTGCGTACGTGCGTGTGTGTATGTGTGTGCGCGCAAACTTGTGTGATATCAGAAGGCATAGAAAAAAACAATTTCCGTTTTTGCATTCTGCCAAATTGAATGTAGCATTGGTGCCAGAATAAACGGGCCTCCTCATCACATGCAATTGTGTATTCGGCCTAGGACTATTAGAAATCGTGTGAGTTAGAGACTACTTCATGAGACGACGGACAGAACCGCCAGGTGATCTGTGCCTGTTGAGCGCGACCGGGTGTCAGAAGCCAAAAGTGTTCCATGCCCCTGCGGCCGAAGTCCGCATACCCTATTCACAAGAGAGACAATCGTGCAGAAATATATATACACACACACACACACACACACACACA